ATACATGTAAACTTTTAGTCGCATATCACATTAGGGACAAATAGGTCTTTTCAGGTGTCATTTAATACCGCTAAGACTAAAAATGGACGAAAGTGACATAAAGGGCATAAAATTTAGACTCGGTGTCAAACAAGAAAAAAAAAGTTTTTTAATGTCAAATAAGGAGTTTTCTCCATTTGAAAAGCGAAAATGTCATCCAGAATCAATATTTCTTCTGGCTGCTGTCCAAAAGAAGTATTCTGACCAGAGATCAGCTGCTCCTATCGTGGGGATGGGTTGAGGGAAAGAGGTGTTTATTCTGATCCCTGTGCGGCCGTGCCTCCATCCAACTTGCAGCAATGCAATGCATTGCATCGCTTGAGCGTTCCTCTTTTGAGCATAAGAAGAGCTGTTGTTATGTGGACTCTTTGTATGTTGGTTATGGATTTGCTGTCGGCGAACTCCTGGCTACGGCGACACTATCTGTCAAATTTTCTTATATAATCCTATATATTCTTATGAAAAAGGCCACAACAACCTCACACAGCCTACTGTTGCATCCTCTCTGCAGCCCATTGCTTCACGGGCCCACACTGTCTATCTTTCCTGGCTACTATGTATAGCGAACAGTCAGGTGAGCAATTGTTGTTTGGCGCTCTGTCTCCTAATAAAGTTCCTGATGGCGTTCCACTTCCTCTCCCCAGTATCTCCACAAGAAACTGATGGATTACCCTTTAAAGTCTGGCCTGCCTCACCTCACTTCTTGCATCGTCATGCAGTACGCGTGGGTCTCTGTCACACTGCCTCCGGTGAGCAATTCCTTCCCATTTCCTTCATGTTCTCTGTGTATGATATATTGCTGGTACATAGTCTTCCCAACTACTCCTCGATTGCTAATTCCGGATTTTTGTTTGCTCAATATCAAATCTCAATTTAGTTTTGCTTCATTCAATATGTAACGTTGCATTCTTATTCTCTATACGGGATGATTAAACACAAACACCTTGCAGTTTTTGCCCTTTGTTTTAGATAGGTGCCCTTGGGGTTGTTAGGGCTCCTGACATGGATCCTCTTTGCTCCTGCTGAGAACCTCCTCGGGCATATTCAACTTAACAAAGGTTGGTAAGGTTCATGGAGTCTCCTGACATATTCATTTCTGCAGTATGATTTGTATTGATTTGATCATTTGTCAATTTTTTTAAAGCTTTGCTGCGGTAAGTAATAACAAGTCCATCAGTTTATGCATCGGTTCATAATAGGTAATTTTCGAACAGAAGGAGTCCAATTAGTTTATGATCCATATTTTATCTTACGGATTCTAAGCTATCTATCTAGCACTGACAGAATAATGTTTCATTTCTCTTCTTGGTAGGTATGATATATGATATCTTCATGATCTTTGTCTACAATATAAAGGCTTAAATTTGGTATCCAATAACACCACACTGCAGTCCTCTGTCCTTTTCCTCCACATTCCTTTCAGGGAGCTAAATCTGATCCCAAAATCATGACTTATCTTAATTTTTTATATGTTCTTCTCTGGTAAACTTTTGCTAACACTACATGCCAATAATATGAAACACATGTCAGAGAAATATTTGCCATTTTCATGGAGGATATTCTCTTCTCTGCTAAAGTGTGACAAGTACAGGGAAATAATATGTAAACAGATGCAGGTCAGGTATTTGTCTAACGAGCAAGAGAAGCATCAGGACTATAAGAGCATCTCCAACAGCAACGTTTGCAACGCGCGGAGCGCCTGGTTTTGCGCGGCGGGATGCGTTTACTCTAGCGGCCGCTGCAAATTTTAGCACGCGCGAGCCGCTGCAAAAAACTACGCGTGCGCTCTATGCACAAACAACATATGCACTCTGACAAATATAAGAAAAACATATGCATAGATTAAAAATAGATAAAAAAAGACGATACATAGATAGTTCCACATAGCGTACATAGTTCATGTCATAGCATAGATAGATAAAAAAACTAGTCAAACACGATAAACACTACGGTGCAACTAGATAAAAACTACGGTGCAACTAGAACCTACTCCGAGTTGTTCTCATCATTCTCGCTCATGTCGTACAAGGTATCGAGCCACGCGTCTTCCCAACGAGGATCGTCTGAGTTGTAGAACGACTCCCCACCTGTAACGAGATCACACTGCGCCTCCGCGAGTGCCTTCTGCCGACGCCTGTCCGCTGCTCCGCACGACGCCTTGTCGTCCTCTCCACCCAGAAGGCGTGCTCGTCGGCGACGTCCTGCGGGTAGCGCTGGTGCCACTTTGCCACGGCCGCTCGTCCGCCTCAGCGATGAGGAGGCGGCGATGCTGCCGATGGTGTTCCTTACGGTCCTCGTCTGTTATAAGACGAGGAGGAGGGGCGACGCGATGCGCCTGCTCGCACGTCCAGACGTCGTGGAAGTAAATCTGCGCGCGAGGCCTCTAGAGGCGTCACGCCGCCGCGTCGTACACGCGGGCGGCCTCGTGCGCGGTCTCGAACGTGCCAAAGCCGAGGCGGGCGTCGCCGGACCGAATCTCAGCATAGAAGGCGCCGGAGGGGCGCTTGCGGACGCCACGGTAGCCCGAAGATCCCCAGCGGCGCGGCGGCATGGTGGCACGTCAAGGAAGCGGCAGAGGAAGCAGAGGAAACGGGGAGAGAGCATGTGGCAATGTGGATAGCGATGGATGGCCGCTTGGCGGGCGCAACAATTTATAGGCACGTCGGAAGCTGTGCGCCAAATCTAGGGCGCGACCTCCCGCTTTTTCCCGTGCGCGCAATTGTTTACCGCACGCCGGAGTTTCCCTCCTCCGCTGGAGCGCGCGAAAACGTTCCGCGCACGCTAAAATGGCAGTTTACCGCGCGCGGGGGGTTTTTGCCGCCGCTGTTGGAGATGCTCTAAATCAAGACAACAGGACAGCGGAAGCTTTGACATTAAGTCAAAAAATATCTCAACACGCACATGTACATGGAGGGTTTAGGATCTGCTTGGGCTAAGTAGTTTATTTTAGCTTAATTTTTTTACTCGGCCAGCTTAATATATTTAATTTTTTAACTTGGCCAGCTTAATGACAGTACTGGGCACATCCAGGCCAGGCAAGTATTTTATTTCCTAGGACGCCAACCAAACAATCACCACGCCCAAATCTTACTACTTTAACTGCTTAATTTCCTGGCAATTAAAAAAACAATATTAATATTATTTATGACTGACCATAACGAAGATCATTTGGTTACATATTTTTATCACTGACAAACATCTATAAAACCACCCATACAATTGTATCCCAACAAGTTCATCTTCCCTACCACAAAATATCGACTTTTGCCAACTACATGGACAACCATAACGAAGGCAATAGGTACTATTACATGCAAAACTGTTTTCTCGGTTCAGGCTTCTCAGCTCCTACTTCTACACAATTTTCCAACAGGATGTGATGTGATGCACAAAACATTGTTCTGCCCCTTCATCAACGCATTCAATAAGAGAAACACACAAGAATTGCATAGAGGCTGTTACAAAGATGAAGAAAGCCACAAAACTACCAACAGCAATCGTCTTGCTTGAAGAAGACACCACAAAGGAACATCCGTTCAGGGCTGGCAAATACATCTTTCAACTTGTTTGGTTGTGGGGAGTTGTTGATTGGGAATGAGAGTTTAAGGTAAGTGAGACTTAAAATCCTTTGATTGACTTAGGGACATGGGAATTAAGAAAGGAGGGGGAAGGGGGATTAAAAGGGCCAATTCTACATCTTGTTTGTTTCGGGGGAAGCAGTATTAGGGAATGAGAGGGAATGAGAATTAGAAAGGCGTGGGGTTTAAATTCCCTTGTTTGATTGGAGGACAGGGGAATTGATGATGGACGGGAAAGGGAGTTGCCCGTCAAACTCCCACTTATCTCTTCCCACGGGGGCCTGGTAATTGGAGGCGTTGCTCCCATCCAGCAAGCTGCGGAAACAAGATTCCCACGACTAACTTCCACCCCCAAACCAAACGAGGGATTGGGACTAATAGTCCACTTTCCATGTCTAATCTCTCAGCTAACTTCCACTTATAAATTCCCATGTCTTTTCCCACGGACTGCCAAACACGCTGTAATTGAACTGAAGATTGAGAATTAGTAAAATAGAAAAACGATTCGTTGGTTGTGCACGTTCACGAGGGATGGTTAGCTGAGCACGTACACGAGGAAGGTATTCCCCTGCCTAATCCCACCAATCAAACAGAGGCAGTTAACTCCCTCTTAAAATCCCACATCTAATTGCTTTTACATGCCAAACAGAGAAATGGGACTTAAAATCAATTTCCCATGTCTAATCCCTTGGCAAACTCCCATTCCCTCTCCCTGTTGTTACCAAACAGGATGTTTGAGTATATGACGAAAGGAATCCTACATTGACATTTTTCTCAAGGAAGAAGGCACCAGCGTGGACAACTCCAAGAAAATTTAAGCACGTATTATGCTATTTGTCCTATAAAACTGTTATACCCCTATCAAATAATCAAGTAAAATAAATTAATTACTTCATTTTCGCTGAACCAAAATTCATCCAAATTATTGCATCTAATACCCGCAGCAACACGGGGGGGAATTATCTAGTAGTATAACAAACGCCAACCCAGTCCACGTTTACTTGTGCATCGGACGCTACAGAGTGGTCTGTTAGGCCTTGTACAATGAGAGGTGCTTAGAGGGATGCTTAGAAAAATAAACCGAATTTTTCCGAAGCACCAGTGCCTATTTCTACAGAAGAGACGCTTAGTTAAGCGTCTATCCTATACAAATAAGCATCAGTGTTTAAGAAAAGTCTGGTTTATTTCTCTAAGCACCTCCCCTAAGCACCCCTCATTGTACAAGGCCTTAGGAAGCTAGGGATCAGTAGTCTGATCCCTAGTGGTTCCACTATCTAAGGGGTAACACTGGTCCAACATGAGACATCATAGACAATACGACCAGATCCATTGGAGAACGAACAGGAGGATAACGAGGCAATAGCACTCCCAACAGTGCGACGTCTACTGGAGTTGTCTTCCAATATGCGGGTGCAAATCATACTTGTCCATAGTAAGTAAACCATGGTACCAGTATGGCTCGGGAACAGGCCACCTGCCATCAAAGTACTTTTCCGATGTAAGTTCTTCCTTGAATAAATACCAACTAAAATGAGGGTACTGAGGAAGAAATAGAATACCTTCGCCGGTGTATCCGACTCCCACATCCAACACCATGCAGTACGTCCATGGAGAGACCACTGTCGACCAACACACTTTTTTCAATGCAAGTTCACAGAAACAAGCATATGCCCACCGAAATAGCAACAAGTCGTAGAAAAATCACCTTTGTCTTCGCCAATTAACCTCTCCTTTCAGAATTTGAACAATCTCACGCCTTGGCATGAAAGGAGTTACTTCACTTCCATCATAGTGATTCATGCCAACAAATGCCCCATCAAAATTAATAAGGGGACCTCCAATCCCAGCCTAGTACAGAAAAGATGCATGTACCGGTCAATGAACCAAGTTGTAAAGGATTCACAATAATCAAGCGTCGATTTGGTAAATTCATTATTTATTTCTCAAATGGAAAAGATCACAATATCATATTCGTTCAGAAGGAAAACAGAAACTGTTTTTCCACTGCGTTCTACAACGATTACTTCATAAGGGTCAACAGGTCGGGTCTGATTACAATGTATTAACAGATTGATTAAAGGGATAAGTGATATCTATTCTGATCCTATCTATAGCAGCTAGTATGTAAATACCATACCTTGTTGATTTTACAAGTGGACAGCATAAGCTTTTCAAAATAACTGTCGCGGGGATTGTATTCAACCACTTCACCTTTTGAGGCCATTAAAAACCCTGCTTCAATTTTACGCGCTATAGCTACTACCGGTTTAGATAAATCCCCTTTATGGCAAATATCAAATGGACGAATGCCACGGATACCCTTATCAAGACTGACAATAGCAAGATTAGCATTTAAATGGTAGAATACCAAAGTCCCCTTGGCATGTTGTTTCGGTGGGAGAAACACATCAATCTGCAATAATAAGATCAGTTCAACAAACCATCATCCAACTTGAAGAAAGAACAAAATGGTTATAGCAGAGCCAACCGTTAAGTTGTTATCAATCTTGAAGTGATCATCACGACTTCTAACTAAACTTGCCGAAGTGAGAATGACAGTGCGTGTGCCTTCAGTTCCAGGCCACTTTATTAGCAAGCCTGTGCATGCAAAAGACCTCACGCTTCCTACACATCATAACCTCAATCATTAGTTAGCGGCAGGGAAGTAATGAGCAGCATAAGCTGGAAAAATCACCATTGAACGACGCAAGTTTGACAACACTTCGGGATATGTTTGTAACAACGTCTCTTGGAAGTAGCGGCCAAACATACTCCCTAGAACGCGGGTTTGAAACGCTGTAAGGATACCCTTTCCATGCAAGTAATTGACCAAATTTCTCCTCAAATGTCTCGAGCAATTCCCCATTGACTGTTTAAATAAATAAGTAAAACAGAAATTAGCTACAAAAGAAGTGCGCAAAAAGAGAGTTCAACAACATGGAAAGCAACAACTTACATTCAAGAACAAGTGGTGGTGGCCTGGGATAACCAAGGGAATCTAGCTGCTTAATTCTAAACCAGAACCCTGATGCAATAAGGTGATCAATATTAGTTCTCAGATGATTTCTATGATAACAGCCAGAAAATATTCTGGCGCAATAATCAACAGGTAACATTCACACCTGAAGGGATTATGCTTGATACAAATGGAGGCAAGGAATATCCACGGAAGTCCGTAGTTCTAGAACTGCAAGAGAACACGGTATATTTGTTATGATAAACAAACATAGGTGTACCAGCTAACAGCAAAACAAGTTATACAGACACTTGAACCAAATGGTGCAAAAGGAAAGAAAGAAGAAGACGTTAAAGGATTGGGCAGACCAGATGTCACAATATGAATTACATTGCCCATCCTTTAGTCCAGATGTCTTGTTTTAACTCTTCCTTGTTTAGATAGACAAATATAGTATCCTCAACAATGAATCAAGAGGACTAAATCAGCAACATGAGATGAGCTAAGCAAGAACATGAGACGACTTGTTTTAACTCTTTTCTTGTTTAAGACAAATACACTATCCTGACAATGAATCAAAGAGGACTAAATATACTATCCACAAGGTGGAGGTAGCAAGAACCACATGGCTACCAATCGACAATTCAATGCGTCAAAACTCTACTGCTCTCATCGCTTTCGAGAATACGAGCAAACGTATATGCTTGACTTCTGGAAACACTATGTTATGGCGCTGCTAGAAGGAGGGCGCGAGAGGGGCGGCCGGGGGCCTTTCTGCCCACGGCCGGGCAAGAGGGAAGGGATTTCCTTCTTAATTCTTGCTTGATTAGATTGATACATCTCCTCTCTTTATATAGAGAGGTTTACTTGACTCTCAAGCAAGGCTTACTTGACCCCTAAGCAAACGACCCTTATCTCTAATTAACCCTAAGACTAATGGGCCCATTAGGCCCATTACGCCTGGACATGCAGCTTGTCCTCGAGCTGCAGCCTAACCAACTTATAACCATGACTCGACGGAACACAAACCTAACACCTAAAAACAAGCCTTTTACATCTCAGCTTGTTTTATTATTCTCAACCTGAAATAGACTAGGACGCTTTATTTTGGACGTGCACGTGTACAGCCACCTGGATCCCATGGACACCACCTGGACAAAAGGAGTGCATGTGTATGGCTGTTGGTCTGCACCGCACAGGGAAGAGTGGAGGGCTTGCGATGGAGAATGACGAGGAGGGGTGCGCCCCCCCAACCGCCGATGTCGCAGACTTTGAGGTCGCTGCCTGCGGGGAAAACAGCATGCCGGCCGCCCGTGGGGGAAACCACATGCCCAAGATCCCCGACGCAGCGGACGAGATCGAGGTCCTTTGCGCAGCGAAGGGCAACTTGGAGGAGCGGCATCTGCAGACCACGCATCTCCCGCACACGCCGACGCGCTAGGAGGCCGCGCGCAGCAGCCTGCAGCCTCACCGCCGCCGACACGTGGCGGGTAGCGATCCAAGACAGAAGCGGTGACGGCGACGGCAGGGACTTGATCTGCTGGATGTGGACGCCCTGGGATGGCGGCGGCGCTGATGGGAACGAGGTCGTCGCACTCCCGTCGTAGAGCATCCCATACTGGGCGGCGGAGCTGACCGGCGGTGGCTGCTGCAGCTGCAGCGGCTGCTGCGCTATCGCGCCGGGCGCGGCGGAGGCCGCCAGGAGCGGCGGCTGCCACTGCAGCCAGGGCTGGGCGGTGGTGGCGATGGATGGCAGCTGCAGCGGCCCGGCGAGCGCGGCGAAGGCCGCCTGGTGCGGCGGCTGCCACGGCAGCCACGGCGGCGCGGGGGCGGCGATGGGCGGCGCAACCGAGTGCGGCCTGTAGGACCCGGCCAAGAACAGGTGGATCTCCTGGACCGCTTGGGTTAGGTCCCGCAGCACCCCGGACACGTCCTCCCAGGTGAGGACGGTGGGGGCGGGCGCGACAAAGGATCCCGGAGCGGGCAGGAGCGGGGTGACGGTCGTGGTGGTCGCCGGAGGCGACAAGGTGACCGGCAGCGGAAGAGACGGGCTTGGCGGTGGTGAAGACATGATCGAACAGAAGCTAGCCGATACCAAATTGTTATGGCACTGCTAGAAGGAGGGCGCGAGAGGGCCGGCCGGGGGCCTTTCTGCCCACGGCCGGGCAAGAGGGAAGGGATTTCCTTCTTAATTCTTGCTTGATTAGATTGATACATCTCCTCTCTTTATAGGGAGAGGTTTACTTGACTCTCAAGCAAGGCTTACTTGACCCCTAAGCAAACGACCCTTATCTCTAATTAACCCTAAGACTAATGGGCCCATTAGGCCCATTACGTACTCTAACACACTAATACACCTTATATTTTGGAACGGAGGGAGTATGTATTAACATAGGAGATGGGGTAAAGAAAATCCTTCCACCTTTCAAAAAAGGCTTACCTTACAAGGAGAAAGAGGAACAGGAGAGGGTGGTTCGAACAAATGTAGGGAACAATATTCAAAATGATGCAGCTCATAAAGCACAAGAGAACACCTGAGTAACTGAAAATTCTCCAAGCGTTTACAAAGAGCCATCAGTGGTAGGAACCAAGAAGAAGGGCCCTCGACACGAATGTTGACCCCAAGAAACTTCGCATCTTGATCGACGAGTGGCCCTCCAAGTGCAGCCTAGAATGGAAGTTAAGTGGTAGCGATTACAAAGGTACTAAAAAAGGCAGAAGGAGAACTCCGCCTAGATCATAATGCAATTATCTGTTTCAAGTTTTCCATCATGCTAATAAGAAACAATCAATAGTGTACCTCTGTGATTTGTTCCCATCTTGCAATACCATTTCCAGTCAGAAGCCCGGATGTGACCATTAAACGACCCGATCCAAAGGCACGAGCAGCTGCTATTATTTTACCATCAGAAGGCAGAGGCGCATGAAGGTCCAGATTTACAGGACAGACATCTTTCGTGGGGGCACAATACGTGAAGTCGCAGGACGTGACAATAGCAATATCTTTATCATATAGTCCCAAGAACCCATCCATATGTGTATTATCTGGAAGGCACACGTCAATCTGCAGTGATAAAAGCAGTACATCAGCACAGAATGTTACCATTAGCTTGAACAAACAAAGGAAAATGGAATGATAATGAATAGCACGTTAGCAGCACCAACCCTCAATTTATCATCTATATTTCGGTTTTTATTAAATTCCTCAACCAAACGTCTTGAAGTCACAAATCTTCTTAGCTCTAGTTTAGTTGTCCCGGATGGTATAGCTAGGCCAGAGCATGCAAATAACATCCTGCTTCCTGCACAAGATCACGAGTCAAATCATCAACAAGCAACGAGTACACATAAATGTGAGGAATGCATATAAACATAAAGCAGCATAATCACCATCAAACAGAGCAAGAGAGACAACAATGGCAGACAAATCTGGAGTTATGTCCTTGCTGGCCCTGATTGTTTGAAGTGGCTTATCACCAAACTCTTTCTCTTGGAAAGGAGTGCTTGAAACAACTTGGTGGGGGTGCTCTAAATTGAAAAGCCGTGCTTCCTCAGCAGCCTCAGCAGCCTCTGCGGCTAGTGTTTCCTTTAGCACTAATAAAGAACACGTGCACCACAGCTGTGAGTACTCTATCTGAGCTATATGCGCAAGAAAGGAAATAATAATAACTTGAAATCAGTGACTTACATTTTACCATCTTTTCCGTTTGTTTCTGAAACCTCCTAACCCTTCTTTTTTTTTCTGACATCACTCCCACTGGAAATCAAGGACTCACGTTTGTTCCTTCTAGCTATGGCTCTCTCCTCCCTACTGATGCCCCGTGTGCAATCAACCACTGTCTTCTTTACAGTCCTGAAGCAGAAAGTGCGTAAAGGTCAACGCTTAGTCGTGCAACTAAGGTGATGGTAATCCCCCAGCATAGGAAGTACATCCTTATTTACTCGCATCCATTCATAATATTACAAAAAGGTTGACTCTGATGGAGTCAAAACATCTCATTTTGATGAGGAAAATTGACCTAGGCTGAATTCAGTTTATCGAAGCCCCCAGTGTCGTATGACAAATTAGTAAGTGAACAAATTTTCTGCAGCCAGTTCACGGCAGCCAAGCCCAAACAAATTATTCAGAAAGGGGGAAAGGGAAATAAAGATGAGATTTGAACGAAACAAAGAAGCCGCAGTATAGCCTAAAAAGGTTGTTTACAGGTAGGAAGTGTCCCATCGAAAACTGGAAGTTGTTGCTGCGATTAGAGGGGGACTATGATGGATAAATACTCCATCCGTCCGTGATTACATGTCGCTCATAGTGCTAGATACATCCGTTTGAGCAACAAGTAATTCCTGACCGAGGGAGTAATATATGCGAAGAATTGTGCTTGGAGAACACACACAAAGATAATTCCTTCGAGTCAATTAACTGATTAAAGTTAGATCCAGAAGAGGAACATAGCAGATTCCAGTTAGATCTACAGCAGAAAACGACGAAGAAGGGGTGAAACATGATTTACGAGTCACAGAGGCCGATCGGAGGGACAATTCGAATACTAACACTTCTAAGAATACAAAGAGAATAGGATACTTACATCGAAGAATGGTGCTGCGGCTAGCTGAGGGCAGCGAGGCACAAAGAGGCCGGGGTGCGCCGAGGATCTGTGAGGATTTTGCCGGCGAGATAAAGCACGCGAATCGACGATGAACTGCGGATTTAGGGTTGAGAGGAGTCACGGAGTATTTTCTTTTTGTTTTACTAGTACAAATGCCTGTGCGTTGCAATGGGCGATTTTTTCAACATGCTCCACGTGGCATTACACAACACTTCTTATATCCTAATGGCATTTGTCAGGACCTAATTCCCGTGCGTTGCAACGGGCGAAAGATATCATAAAACCTGCTCCATTCGATAGTACACGTCATTTCTTACATAGAGTTCTGATAAACATCAATAAGTTTATATTGTTATCGCTTTCTGAAGTATGAAGTGTCGACGTAAAGAAAAGCCACCCTAACATACTTCATCTGATGGAACAGTAGTGGTGCATGGAATAGTCTAGTAACCGGTTTTATATTTTAATTTTTGAAAATTTCTTTATCTTTAAATAATTAAGCAATTTTGAAATTTTAATCTTTTTATTAGAATTGAAACATGTTTTGAAAATTAACATTATTTGAACACATGTTTTCTTAAAGAGATTTTTTTTAAATTTTGATCAATTTTAATGGTTTTTAAGAAGTCAGAACGTTTTTTATTTTGAGAATTTTTTTAAAAGCGTTAACATATTTGAAAGTGTTAATTTTTTGAAGGAAGAAGATTTGAAACACTCCTTATCTTAAATAAAAGAACATGCTCGGTGTGCAATTAAAAAAGAATTGTTGGTGTCCATACCATGTAGTATAAAGTTGAGAAAGTCGTAGGGATGCCCTTTGATGGCGGTCCTTAAGCTTAGCACTATCATCGGATGGAAGAGGAATGGCGTAATTGTTTTTAGCAGGATATACAAACTGTGGAATTGTTGTATACTATTCGAGAGTTTAATAACTAATCCAAAAGTTTTTCTTAGATTTTTCAAAAGACTTGCAAAGTAATTATTTCGCATTAAGGTGTAGTGATGCATTGAAGTGGGATTGTTTATATACAATTTTTCTGTTATATTCGAAAGCAAACATGTTTTACTATGTTAATTAATTTTTAGAAAATGATGATTATTTGATTTGCAAGATTATATTTCGTTCCTTTTCTTTTGCACTATTCAAACTTGGAGATCATCTTCATAAGAAAAAGTGAGCTTTTCTCTATTCCCCATCACACTTAAATTTTGGATGGGTTGTTTTAAAAAAGGGTAAATTTCAAGATGCACTGTTGTAACATTCTCTCTACTCTTCAGCCCCCTCTCTCCTCCCTATCTCACCAACGACGTCGGTGACATCCAGAATTGAGGAATATCTTAATTGTTAGCAAGTTCCGATGAGCTCCAAATATCTTCTTCCTTGAGAAACATTTGTTTCCAGTATTTCACTCATTTTAAATTATTGTATCTGATAATGTATTCATAAGATGCGATAGACATGAATGACAGTAAATTTCAATCAGGTGCCTATTTCTCGACTTTGAAACATATTCTTTAATGTATTAACTACAATTTAAAGGATTTTCATATAGTATTATTTGAAGTAAGAGCACTGGTCTCGGTATGACGTCATAGTCGGATCATCGATGCCTAGTTACAAAGCATATCATATCGACAATTAACCATCATACTGACAATACAAATATTGTACACATATCACCTCAAAAATCGAGAAGCCTAAAGAGAAAGGATCAATTAAAGGTTACCCTGTTGTTGATGCATGTTGCGTGGATTAGGTGAGGTGGGAGCCGAGTGAACTCTCGCCAGCGAGTATGGCTTGCACAACATCGAGAAGATATATATAAATGTACCAAACATGTACAATATCCCAAAGATGGATATATTATGGTTATGGGTGGATGTAGCCGGTGACGTGATCAATACGTAGTCATTGAGCAGCTAGCTCTCTGATCTAATTAGCTACAAAGTGGATTCCCTACTTGCATTGGCTGATAATGGCTGATAAGCTAAGTAAGCATGAAGAAGACACTGGGTCGTGGTGATCTCTGTCTGGACTGCTATTTTAGTTCTAGACACATCCATTTTCATCTATTTTGATGACAAGTAATTCCGGACGGAGGGAGTACATGTTAACTTCAGTTAAAAATGTCAAGTTCGAATTATTCGCCTCCTTTTATTGTTCTGTTTCTACTATTTATTTCAACGTGCATGTCCCTCCCCTCCTTATAAATTATACATGCAGCCTCTTTTTCATTTCTTATATTTCCTCGCTCTCTTATTTCACATATATAGAAGGTTAATTTATCCTTCTCTTTTTGCCTTATATTTCCTCGATTCCTTGAAATCCTCCTCTTTAAGATAGTGCTTCCTTATATTTCCTCGTTCTCTTATTTCTCCTTTTTTCCTTATATTTTTTCTCGATTCCTTGAAATCCTCTTTACTGCCCAATATAGCCACTGTTTCCTTCTTTAGCCTCTCTTCCCTTCCATATATTTCTTTATATCACGATCCCGAGATTGCTTCGTGATACCTAGAAAATTTAAACACCTATATAAATTGGGTAGATTGTATTTGGCGAAGCGAGGTGGGACTATTTATTATATGAGTCAACCTGACTTCAAACACAGGCCATTACCTATCCCAGTTGGTTGTGATGTTGTTTTATTGGACTGGAGGCTTTGAGTTTCAATACCACTAAACGACAAGTATTTTTGAGATGATTTGTTGGGACCACCCAAATAGATGGGCCTGATTTGTTCGGCCAGGCTAGTTCGATTCCTGGGAGGGTGCTGTTTATTTTTTCGTCTTGCAATGCGGCTGCTTCTTTTCTTAATGATGGACGGAGGAACGGAACAGGCCAGAGGCCCAAATATGACCCGATCCTTACGATGCCCAAGTGACGTACCAGAAAACGGTGTGGACGTACGAATTAGTACCACCTCGTGTATAATGCACTTAACGTAGGATCAGGTGCGGGACGAAACCAAGAATATCACCTTGCTTTAATAGTAGGTATAGGTATAGATAGAGGCGTCACGGGGGTCGGTCGGGCTGATATTTCGTTTTACTCCCTCCGTTCCTAAATACTCGTCTTTCTAGAGATTTGAACAAGTGATTACATACGAAGCAAAATGAGTGATCTACATTCTACAATGTGTCTATATACATCCGTATATAGTAGTCCATTTGAAATTTTTAAAAAGACAAATATTTAGGAACAGAGGGAGTACTTTTGAGAAACAAATACCAGGTGAGGTATTTATTGGGAGCCATGGGATAAGGGCCACTTTTTTTTTGACGTTGGATAAGGGCCACTTCGGATTGTAGATTTTCCATGTGTTCGTGTTTTTTTTTTTGAGAAAAGAAGATTCTCATTACTCAAGCAGGCTTCTCAGCCATAGTCAAGTTTACAAGGAAGGGGCGATTTGGTGCCCGTGCCCAACTGCTCTCGATATCGTCGCCACCCATTCCACGCTCGGGATCTGGAAAAGGGAGTCTGTCGTGTCAGACGCGGTCCGTGGAAAATTATTAGCTATGCTAAATACGGTACGAAACAGTGTGTAGGAGGTGGGCCCTCCGCGTATGGGTGGAACGGCGGAGACACGGTTGCGGTCTGGTCCGTGGAACAGGACGTTGCTTTTTTTACTGAGTCGTGGATCAGATAACAGGTCGAGCACGTTATGGAAAATGGTGAGTTGTGGACCAAGCAGCGACCCCACCGCACCGCCACCCCTTTCCTGGTTCGTTCTGGAAACCCTCGGGCCCCTTTCTCTCCCACGCAGAAGAACACTACCGCCGGTGCGTGTAGAGCTGAGCAGGTCGTGACGGCGATGCTTCCTGACCTTTTTGCGTCTACACAAATAATGGAGGATGTGGGCATGGAGTTCCTCCGGGACGCAGTCGACAGGTTAGTGCTTACAGATCTGGAAATTTCGGGATTTTTTTTTGTTTATTTGCAGCCATTCCATAAGCAGAACGCTAACAACGGGGCAAGGTGGGCGGCCATTGCTATGAGATTCCAGGTTTCCGCTGCGTGAGGAGTTCGCGGACAGCCTTGAGCATCCAGATCTTGTGCCTCTGGTGTTGTTGCGGTCATGCGAGGGCAACTGAGCCGAGCCTGTGAGCTCAGATGTTGGTTCTGGTTTTGGTCAACGGGTTGGTGG